AGTGGTGTGGCTCAGTGAATTGAGCACTAGCCTGTGAAGTGAAAGGTCACCAGTTTGATTCCCACTCAGGACACATGCCTGAGTTGCGGGGCAGGTTCCTTGTTGGGGGCATGTGAGAGGCAACCGATCCAAGTACTCTCACACATTGATGTTTCCCTCTCTTTCTCCCTCCCTTCCCCTCTCTCTAAACGTAAATAAATAAAATCTTTAAAAATTTTAGTCATTGATATGAAATAGTGCTATTCAGTCATCAAGAATTAACTCCTGAGATTGTACAGAAATTAATGGTTCCATACTGCTGGCTAGCACCTTTATGGTTTCATTATTTATACACTTAAATTTTTTATTCTTTTGGCGTTTATCTTGGTGAAATGCAGCAATCAAACTTCATTTTTTCCTAGATGGCTATCCAGTTGTTTTTGTGCTGTTTATTGACCACTGCTTTGAGAGGCAGCTCTATCATATACTAATTCCTGGGTGTATTTAGGTTTGTTTCTGTAGCTTTCAATTCTTTGCCATTGGTCTGTTCATGGGCAAGTGCCACACAATTGGCATTTTTGAGTTATATGTCTTAATTTCTGAAAAAATTTCTCCCTTTACTCTTCTTTTGAACAGTTTTCCTAGCTATGCCTATTTCTCCATATGAACTCTAGAATCAACTTACCTAAGTAAAAAACAAAAACATCTTATTGGAGGAATCATGTTAAATTCATATAACTTAGGAAAATGGATTATGTCAAGAATACACATAGTCAAGAATATCCCACATATCTTCTATTTGTTAAAGACTAGTTTTCTGTTAGAGGTGGGGGCTGATGTAGGCCTGCACGACCTGGGAAACCTGAGGGCCAGAGCACCCAGTGGACAACACAGACTATGCTGAAGAACCACCATCCTGTCCCTGCACAGCTGATCCTCCACAGAACACAGAGGTTGGTGGTCAGTGGTCACAGCCAGTCCTTGCAACTGACTGGCCTAGGTAAATGCCTCCCATTGATCTGCCAACAGGAATCAAAAGCTCAACTACATAAGGAGGGTGTACTCAACCCATATGAAAGGCACACCTCAAGTACCCAGCTTGGGTGATAGGGGAGGCTGTGCCAATGGACCCTATAGGACACTTACTACATTAGGCCACACTGCCAAGACACAGAGTCAAAGCAGCCTTACTTAATACATAGAAACAAACACAGGGAGGCTGCTGAAATGAGCAGACAAAGAAACATGGCCCAAATGAAAGAACAGATCAAATCTCCAGAAACAGAGCTAAACAAAATGGAGACAAGCAATCTTTCAGGTGCAGAGTTCAAAACACTGGTTATGAAGATGCTCAAGGAACTTTGTGAGGACCTCAGCAGCATAAAAAAGACCCAGTCCAAAACAAAGGATGAAGTAATTGATATGAAGAACAATTTACAGGGAAATGGCTTTAGAGTGGATAAAGCCAAGATTCAAATCGGGGATTTGAAACATAAGGAAGCAAAAAAACAACCAATCAGAACAAGAAAAAGAAAATAGAATACAAATAAAGGAGGATAGTATAAGCAGCCTCTGGGATAACTTCAAGCATTCCAATATTCGCTTCACAGGGGTGCGAGAAGGAGCAAGAAACTGGAAATCTATTTGAAAAAAATAATAAAAGAAAACTTTTCTAATCTGGTGAAGGAATAGACATGCAAGTCCAGGAAACATAGGGAATCCTAAACAGAATGAACCCAAAGAGGCCCACTCCAAGACACATCATAATTAAAATGCCCAAGGTTAAAGATAAAGAGAAAAGCTTAAATGCAGCAAGAGAAAGGAGGTTAGTTATCCGTAGGGGAGTTCCCATAAGACTATCAGATGATTTCTCAAAAGATACTTTGCAGACTAGAAGGGATTGGCAAGAAACACTGGAAGTCATGAAAAACAGGGACCTATACAGGCAGGATTGCTGTACCCAGCAAAGCTATTATTTAGAATCAAAGGGCAGATAAAGAGCTTCCCAGACAAGAAATAACTGAAGGAATTCATCATCACCAAACAGTTATTATATGAAATGTTAAAGAGAAAGAAAGATCAAAACTATGAATAAAATGGCAATAAATACATACCTGTCAACAATGGAATCTAAAAAATGAACTAAGCAAAGAACACAGATAGAATTATGAATATGGAGAATGTGGAAAATTATGAATATGGTTGCCTGATGGGAGAGGCATGTAGAGGAATGGGTGACAAGATTAGGGGATTAACAAGTACAAATAGGTAGTTACAGACTATCCATGGGGATGTTAAGAACTATATAGGAAATGGAGTAGCCAAAGAACTTACACGAATGACCCATGGACATGAACTAAGTGTGGGTATTGCCTGAGAAAGTAGGGGATGCTGGGCAGATCAGGGCAAAAGGGAAAATATTGGGACAACTAAAATAGCAAAATCAATGAAGTATAATAAAAAATAAAATATAAAACCTGTAAAAAAAGACTATGTTTGTGTTTATCAGGAGTGTCTTTTAGTTTAAAGGTTTGGGTACTTTTAATTTTTTTATTTTTATTTTTTGAATTGGATTTATTTTTTAATTTATTTTTTAAATTATTTTTCAACTACAGTATTCTTTCTTTTACTCCCTTCCAAGGCCACCCACCTGTGCCCCCCTTTCTTTTACTCCCTCCCCTTTCCACCCCCCTTAGTAGTTGTCCATGTGTCCTTCATGCTAGTTCCTGTAAATCCTTCTTTTTCCTAAAATTCCCTCACCTCTCCCACTTTTTAAAGTTTAAACCTAGGTTTTTAAAAATTTTTTGCTATTGTTTTATTAACTCTTCTAAGTGGAGTTTGTGTATATATATATTTATCCATGATTTATAACCTTGGAGTGGGGTAGGGTTTTCTACCTATGATTCAAAACACAAAAGTAATAAAAGATTAATAAATTCAACTACCCCAGGATAAACTTTGCATGCTAAAGACACCATAATCCAAGTCAAGAGAAAAATTATAAACTGAAAGGAAATTAAAAAAAAAATTTAAGCCCTGGCTGGTGTAGCTCAGTGGATTGAGTGCGGGCCTGCGAACCAGACGATCGCGGTTCGATTCCCAGTCAGGGCACATTTGTGGGTTGCAGGCCAGTTCCCAGCAGGGGCCAGTTCCCAGCAAGGGGTGCACCAGAAGCAACCATACATTGATATTTCTCTCCCTCTCTCCTTCCCTTCCCCTCTAAAGGTAAATAAATAAAAAATTCTTAAAAAAAAATTTAAACATTTTTTATTGTTGTTTAAATTCAGTTTTCTGCCTTTTCCTCCTACCCCTCCCCACCATGCCTGTCCTCCTCACCTCCCTCCTGTTTCCACCTCTGCCATCCTTGTTATTGTCCATGGGTCCTTTATGGTTCCTGCAAACCCTTTACCCTTCCCCCCCTATAATCCCCTCCCCTCTCCCTTCTGGTCACTGTCAGCCTGTTCTCAATCTCAGTGTCTTTTGTTATATTTTGCTTGCTTGTCCATTTTGTTGATTAGGTTCTTGTTAAAGGTGAAATCATATGGAATTTGTTTTTCACTGCCTGGCTTATTTCACTTAGCACGGATGGAACTGGAGAACATTATGCTGAGTGAAAGAAAATATTTGCAACTTACATTGCAAATAGCTCCTACAAGTCAATAAGAAAAAACTCACCCACCCACCAGAAAGAAGGGATTGAGGGGTGAAGGATGCAAATAAATAGCCCTATGAAAAGATATACTCAACCTCACTTATAAGTTAATAAAAATTAAAGGAATACTGAGATATGATTTCTTGTCTATCGGATTGGAAAACACATGGCTGGTGAGACTATAAAAGAACAGGCACCCATGCATTGCTGATAGAACTGGTCAGGAATGAACTGGTGAAATGCATTATACTACACACCATACAAGAAAATACTATGCAGCTGTAATAAGAATAATGAAGATACTCTTCAATTACTGATATAGTGTTAAGCAAACAACAACAAAACCTAGGTGCAATATTGTAAATAACAGGTACCACTTTTATATAGAAGCATAAAAATTTCCCCCACTATTCAAAACTATTCTCATTTTTATACTTTTAAGGAATCGCATCTCTATTAAACCTTTCTTACCCTGACCAGTATGGCTCAGTTGGTTTGCTGTCATCCTGCAAAAGTTCCCTGGTTCAATTCCCAGTCAGGATACATGCCTGGGTTGAGGTTCAGTCCCCATCAGGGTGCATATGAGATGCAACTGATTGATGTTTCTCTCCTTCTATTTCTCCTTCCCTACACCTCTCTTCCCCTGTCTTTAAAAAATAAAGTCTTTAAAAAAAATGACTCCTAAAAAAAACTTTGGTATGCTGAAATGGCGTCAAGCAAAGAAACAATTACCTTAGGACACATCTTGCTAACAGATGTAAGATAAATCACACATGCTTAGAGTTCAAATCTGTGGTGACTTGATGCTGACACACTTTGAGTGTAATTCCCAGGGAAGAGCTTGCTGGGCCTACTCTTGCTTCTCACGGTGTGCCCTGCAAAACAAACACTGAACACTATTTTTGCTTTTTGCCTATTTTCATGAAAGTGAAAATCCTCTTCAGATTTTTCAGTTAGGGGAAACAGGTACTGCATAAAACTTTTGTAAAAGAGAAGTGGTGTAAAGCAAACTTTCTAAACACAGGGTATACCAGTATATATGTAATTGGATAAAGAAATAAAAGCATATTTAACTAATAAAAGTGGTCACTTGAAGGGGCTGGCTGGAGAAGGAACTGCGTAAACAGGCATGGAGAGGAGTAATTTTTCACTATATACCTTTTTACTTCTGAAGAATATGAATTAATTATTAAATACTTTTTTAAATTAACTGCCTTGGTGAATTAAGAAAGTTAAGATATTTAAGCTCACATACTTCATTTATTTTTCCTATTTAACCCAGAGGAATAAGAGACAGCTTTAGAAATTAGGAGAGCTAAAACTGAGTTCCTCAGAGTAACCCCCCAAAATGTGTAAATCAATGTGAAACTTGAGTTTCCATTTTCTTTTATTTTTTAAAGTAATTGTTTTACAATGTGTTAACACATACATATGCACATGGGAGTGCACTTTCATGTGTGCACACACACACACACACACACACAGGACTTGAGATGAACAGAGAAACAAGGATAGCCTCCAAACAGGTGTTTTTTACAAAGTTCAAAATAGATTACATTAACATTTATGTACTTTCCAGTCATTACACGATGTACAGACATGATCCATTTAATGATTTATGCTCCCCAAATGGTTAAACCAATAAAGATTTTCTATGAAAAAGTATATGTAAAAAGCTTTTAGTTTAGAAGCAAAGTGCTGTTTCCAGCAAAAAGCAACCTCAGGGATACATTTTGTGTTTACATATACTTCTTGAGAATACCAGAGTAGCAGTGCATAATTTCATTCTTTAAAAAGATCTCAAAAATGAATTTCAAGACACTCTTGATGAATTGTGCTTGCTGATAAAAATCCTAAGTATGACAATAACAGTTAAAACTACATATATATGTAAAGAGATCAGAAGAGGCTCTAAAGAAATGTAAATAGTTGTGCTTCAGGGACTTTTTTCATAAAGTTGTTTTAATAATAAACATAAACTTAAAAAATGTCTCACTGCCTGATATAAAATAGACAAAGATACCAAGGATTTTCTATAGCTGGCTTAGGGTTTAAAGGTGAAAAATTATCTCCATATAAACCACCCAGCAACTGATAATTCCCAATCTGGGCTGGACATTTACAGTTAGGCAAAAGGCTGGGGAGAAAAGATTTTTTCTCCTATCAAAAGCATTATTCAGAGGTAAAGCCAGGGTGAACCAACTAACTAAACAAATGTCTACCTTCCTTTAGAGTCCTTAGACCAAATAGATCATATTACTTTTATGAGGTTTAAAATAACCACACATGCTTGGTGTTTAGACCACAATCTATTCTGTAATTCAGAAGATGAATTAAATATGCCCTGTCTTCTGTGAGTCCTAGGATAGCCATTATTCCTCAGTATTTTGTGTTTTAAAAAGCCTCCACACATTAACTGTGAAACTCATTTTAGAAACACCATGGCAACTGTTTATAATGATAAAGGCCACAGTATAATTTACATAGTAACAGTGATGTTCATAGCTGGGAAATAAATGCAATTATACTCTTAGGATGGTCAGTTTGCTATTTTAGGCCTTCAACTTTGAAGGACACATGAGCCTAACAATTAAAGTATATTTAATGTAAATTAGAAAAAAAGATGAAAAAATATTTTAATTGAAGTCTTTTGCACAATGGGTTTAAATATAAAGACTTTTTTATTGTTCAATTATAGTTGTCTCACTTTTATTCCCGCTGCTTTTCCCAGCCCTGTCTGCCCCCAACTCCCAGTCAATCCTCACCCTGTTGTCCTTGTCCATGGGTCCTTTATAGATGTTCGTTGACTTGCCCCTTCCCTTCTTTCCCCCATTATCCCCTCCCTTCTCCTTTCTGGTCATTGTCACTTCGTTCTTTATTTCCATTTCTCTGGTTCTATTTTCCTCACTTGTTTGTTTTGTTGATTAGGTTACACTTACAGGTGAGATCATATGATATTTGTCTTTCATTGCCTGGCTTACATCACTTAGCATAATGTTCTCCAGATCCATCTATGCTGTCTCAGAGAGGAGTTCCTTCTTTCTTTCTGCTGCATAGTATCCCATTTTGTGAATGTACCACAGCTTCTTGATCCACTCATTTACTGATGGGCACTCAGGCTGTTTCCAGCACTTAACTAATGTAAATAATGCTGCTAAGAACATTGGGGCACATACGTTCTTTTGAGTTGGTGTTTCAGGATTCTCAGAATATAACCCAGCAGGGGAATCAGAGTCAAAAGGCAGTCAGATTTTTAGTTTAGTTTTCTGAGGAAATTCCATACTGTTTCCCACAGTGGCTGCACCAGTTTTCATTCCTACCAATAGTGTACTAGGGTTCCCTTTTCTCTACATCCTCTCCAACACTTGTTGACTTGTTTATGGTCATTCTGAGCAGTGTGAAGTGGTATCTCATTGTGGTTTTAATTTGCATCTCTCTGATGGCTAGTGATATTGAGCATTCTTTCATGTCTTATGGACCCTCTGTATGTCCTCCTTGGAGAAGTGTTCAGTTTCTTTGCCCATTTGTCTTCCTTTTTTTCTTCAGTGTCCTGTAGTTTTCTGAGTACAGATCTTTTACCTCCTTGGTTAAGTTTATTACTAGGTATTTCACTTTACTTGTTGCTACAATAAATAGGATCTTTTCCTAATTTCTGTTTCTGATATTTCATTGTTGGTGTACAAAAATACCTTTAATTTCTGAATATTGACTTTGTATTCCACTGTTTCGCCAAATTTACTTGCTGGGTTGAGCAATTTTTTAGTGGATTCTATAGGGTTTTCTATGTACACTATCATGTCATCTGCAATCAATGACAGTTTCACTTCCTTCTTTCCAGTTTAGATACCTTTTATTTCTTTTTCTTGTCTGATCATTGTGGCTAGAACTTCCAATATCATGCTGAATAAATGTGATGACAGCAGACACCCTTGTCTTGTTCCTGATCCTAGGGGAATAGCCTTTAGTTTTTGCCTGTTGTGTATGATGTTAGCTGTAGGTTTCTCATATGCTCCCCCTACTCCCACTTTGCTAAGTGTTTTTATCATAAAAGGGTTCTGTACTTTCTCAAATGCTTTTTTGGCATCTATTGATAAGATCATGTGTTGTCTTTCATTTTGTTTATATGATGTATTCCATTTACTGATTTGAGAATATTGAACCATCCTTGCATCCCTGGGATGAATCCCACTTGATCATGGTGTATGATCTTTCTAATGTATTACTGGATATGGTTTGCCAATATTTTGTTGAGGATTTTAGCATCTGTGTTTATCAGCAATATTGGCCTGTAGTTTTCTTTCTTTGTTGTATCTTTATCTGGACTAGGGTGATGCTGGTTTCACATGAAGAGTTTGGGAATTTCCCCTCTTTTTAGATTTCTTGGAATAGTTTGAGAAGGATAGGAGTTAGCTCTTCCTTAAGTACTTTGTAAAATTCTTCTGTGAAACTGTCCTTTCCAAGGCTTTTGCGTATCAGGAGTTTTTTTATTACCCCTTCAATTTTCACTAGTTGTTATCAGTCTATTCAGGCTTCCTGCTTCTTCTTGACTCAGTTTTGAAGGATTATAGGTTTCTAGAAATTTGTTCATTTTCCTCAGATTTTCAAATTTATTGGCATATAGTTGTTCACAGTAATTTCTTACATTCCTTTGTATTTTTGTGGTATTAGTTATAACCTCTCCTCTTTCATTTCTGATTTTATTTGGTTCCTCTCTCTTTTTTTCTTGAGTCTGGTTAGAGACTTGTTGATTTGGTTTATCTTTTCAAAGAACCAGCTCCTGGATTTATCAATCCTTTGAATTGTTCTCTTAGTCTCTATGTAATTTAATTCTGCTCTGATCTTGGTTATTTCCTTCCTTCTGCTCACTCTGGGCTTTGTTTGTTATTGTTCCTCTAGTTCTTGTAGATGTAGGGTTAGGCCGCTTGAGATTTTTCCTTTTTTTTTTTAGGTAGGCCTCTATTGCTATAAACTTCCCTCTCAGGATTGCCTCCACTGTGTTCCATAGGTTCTAGGCTGTTGTGTGTTCACTTTCATTTGTTTCCAGAAACTTTCTGATTCTTCCTCGATCTCACTGTTAACCCATTTGTGGTTTAATAGCATGCTATTCAGTCTGCATGGATTTGATTGGTTGAGTTTTTTCCTTGAGGTTGGTTTCTAGTTTCAAGCCATTGTCATCTGAGAAAATGCTTAAAATGATTTCAATTTTTTTTGAATTTGTTGAAGGTTGTTTTGTGTCCTATCATGTGGTCTATCTTTTAAAATATTCCATATGTATTTGAAAATACACTTTTTGCTTCTTTGGGGTAGAAGCACAGAAGCTTCTTTGCTTCTTTATATATATCAGTTAAGTCCCTTTGATCTAGTTTATCGTTCAGTGCCACAATATCCTTGTTGATATTTTGTTTGGAAGATCTGTCCATTGTTCACAGTGGAGTGTTAAAATCCCCTATGATGAGTGTGTTGCTGTCTATATCTTTCTTGAAGCCCACCAAGATGTTCCTTATATGTTTGGGTGCCCCTATGTTGGGTGCATATATGTTTACAATGGTTATATACTCTTGATGGATTCTACCCTTCAGTATTATGAAGTGTCTTTCTCTGACTCTTTTTATGGCCTTTGTTTTGAAATTCATTTTGTCTGATATAAGTATTGCTACCCTGGCTTATAAAAAGAATTTCTTAAAAGAATGTCCTAGTCACTCAGAAGCATCCTGTTGTCTGTAACATAATGTCCTGGAGTCGTTTGCATAAAATTATAGAGTAATTTAAAATATATATTATACATTTATAATCACTGTAAATCATTCAATAGTTTGTACCATATTAATGGAGTGAAAGAGATAAAAGGCAGTCCACATTCATATTTTCAAGATAAATTTACTTCAGAAGTCAACTGAATTCCTTGCTCATGTTCTAAGTATAGCCATTGTGATAAGACCTGAAAGAAAAAAATGGAGAATTAAAAATACACATTTTATAAAATGTTTCATTCAATAAACAATTGTTTAGCCCTCAATGAGCAAACAAAATACAGTACATAAGCAGGTACTCTATCAATAACTTGAAGTCAATTCAAATTCAGTTGATATTATACAGATGAAATCCAATTGACAGCAAAGGGCAATTACTAGACAGACTTAATTAAATCATTAGTGCCTAAACATAGCTAATTTTTTAACCATCAAATATACCTCCCACCTTATCCAGTTTCATCAGCTATAATAGCAGACATGCCATTTTAAAGTGTCAGTAAAGCCAGTTGACTTCATCAACAAAAACACTGTGGGCCTATTTGCATCCCTGGGTCCTAGGGCCACAAATAGACAGAAGCATAGTATTCTTGATTGGCTTGTCTCTTTTGAAGAAACTCCAGACCTAAAATCATAAAAATTTAATAATATGCTTAGTCTTATATGAGTAGTTAAAAAAAGTGTGTGATGAAGCACAGAGAAGGAGAATAATCATGTAGGAATGGGGCAGTCAGAAAAGATACCCCAAAAGGTAAAGCTGTAATAAGACTGAAAGATATAGAACAATGAGATGGGTAGACATTCAGGTGAGGGGAGGGCAAAGGCAAGGGCATGAAGGTAAGACTGGGACTCTAGATGAGCTTTTTGTGGATCAACAAATGATCTAATGGCTCTAATCAAGGATTTATGTAAGGCAACAGCTAGACAACAGTAGCTCATAGAGGTCTCAAAAAGAGTACAGACAGCCTTAAATGTGAAACTATGGGATTATATTTTATTCTATGGACTGCGGGGAAGCACTGAAGGTTTTTGAGTAGGGAGTGGTGGTGGTGAAACCAAAACATAATGGAAAAAAGTCTGAGCAATATCATAGATAGTTTGAGGAGAAAAATAATGTAAGAGGACAGGAATAGGAAGAGACACAGACAGAAGGTAGAGAGACAATTTATTAATAGAAAACAATTTTGAAATTAGCATACCAAGGAATACTGAAAGAAAATACTGAAAAGAGATGGCATCTCAGAAGTTGTGAGAAACTATGAAGAGTCAATCATCACCAGAACCCCAATCCTTGACACATTAGGTAGGTACTGAATAGATATTCAGTTGTACTAATTATAAGGTTTCAAGTCAGGATGACTGAAAGAATGAGTGAACAGGAAAAAGGGGAACTGGTTTGAAGAGAAAGGTTCACAATATTAAACAAGGCTACATTGTTCATCTTTATCATGTGTACACTTTGTCTAAGTGTTTCCCTAGAATCAAGTTTTATAAGTAGAAATGGTGTATCATGGAATATATGCATTTCACACGTTTTATACCATTGTAAGTCATCAAAAAGAAAATAATTAAATAAATACAGTATTAGGTACTAGTTAAATAAATTGAAAAGAACTAAATGTGAGCCAAGAATTAAATCTTACAATGCACTTTACCTCAACATGCTTTTAAAGCAATCTTTTAATGTTTTTCTAAAAATAAAAACCACTACCACCACCATCACCTCACACACGTAAGACCATCACTAACTACCACCTGCAAGCCATAAAAATTGCCTGAACGTACACCCCCAAATGCATCTTTAAAACACTTACCTAAGATGTAAGCAGCCACTAATTTTTGATTCACACTTAAGTGGAGGTAAAGAGGCACCAGCGATTCCACATCCCCCAGTGTAGGAAGCATTAGAGCTGCAATGCACACCACTCCCAGGAAGACAGTTAGTAAACTAGGTCCTGAGGAGACAGTTCTATTTTCTGTGAAAAGACAAAAATCCCTGAGCTTGCGTCTAAAAACAACTTAGACAAAAGTTGTTTCACATATACTGTCCATGTCACCAGGATTCTGATTTTGTCTAAAGATAATTTCAAGGAATCCTTAGTATTTAGAGAAAGTCCAAAAAATTTATATAAATGCTTAAACTTTTTCAAAATAGAAGTAGCTTCTATGCAGCAGAGAGAAAGAAGGAGCTACTACCTTTTGCAACAACATGGATGGAACTGGAAAGCATTATGCTGAGTGAAATAGGCCAGGCATTGAAGGACAAATACCATATGGTCTCACCTTTGACAGGAAACTAAAGAATAAAACAAACAAGCAAACAGAATAAAAACAAAGACACTGAAATAGAGAACAAGTGGGCAGCGACCAGAGGGGAGAGGGAAGGGAACTTAAGGGGAAAAAGGGGGAGGGATTTTGAGGAACAAGTATGAAAGACACAGAGATGAGGACTGGGGCGGGAATGGGAGGGAGGGGGGAGACCGGGCGGGGGGGTGGTGGGATGGGAGAAATAGATAAAAAAAAATGTACTTGAAAAGTAACTAAATAAAATTTAATATTAAAAAAAAATAGAAGTAGCTTTTTTTCTGATTGTTGTAAAATCTGATAGAGAGATATAGAAATCATAAAGGTTCCTATGTAATCCCATCTTCTTGGAAATAACACTATTCACAGCTTGGCATAAATCTTTTCAGATTTTATTAATGACCATGTAAATATGTAAAATAAATTTTCATATAAATGAGATTATATTATAACTACTGTTCTAAACCTGTTTTTTTCTCTCACTTAGGAGTATATCTGAATCCTTAGGAATATATTTGAATCTCTTTCCATGTCAATATATAACCCCTATCATTCTGCCAAATCCTTGTAAATGCCTGCCTGGTATCCCATCTCACAAATATTCAAAATTTAATCAATCCCTAATTGATAGTCTTTTAGGTCATCTTCAATCTTTTATTATTATAAACAATAAGAGCCTAATTTCCTTAAGCCAGAGAGCACTGACTCAAACATTGCAATGACATACTTCATTAGTAACATAATTAAGATAAACCCAATAAGATTCAGCAACATCTTTTTAAAACATTGTTTAAATAACTTAGGCTATGGTATTTTATAAAGGTATGCTTTGCAGGTTTCTCTTAAATTACCATTAAATTTAAAAATATATACAAAATTATATTTGTGAATAGATAAAACCTGGAAAGTAACATGGGACATTTATATCAGCAGATATTTTTGTCCAAGGTGTTTTTTGGTTAAATTTTTATTTTATTGATTTTGAGAGAGAAGAGGAAGGGAGAAAGAGAGAGAGGAAAGGAGAGAGAGAGATTCCACTTATTTATGCATTCATTGGTTGATTCTTGTATGTGTCCTGACCATGAATGGAACCCACAACCTTTGTGTGTCAGGACAATGCTCTGCCCAACTGAGCTACCCAGCCAGGACCAGATATGTTAAGTGTATGGGATTATAGAGACTATATTCTTTAAGAGATTTATTGCTATATGTTTTTATACAATAAACTTGAGAAAAAATTCTCATTTTTACTGCCTCAATACATTTAAAAATCTGAATCTTTAATGAGTATAGCCTATGACCATTTTCCAGCTAGCTCAAAGAGACTCACATTTTTGTACCTGTAATATGTCTAATAAACACCTTTCAAGCTAAAGACATAAAAAATAATACCACTTCAAAGTCTCCCAAAAAATATAATCTCAATTTATTTCAACATTTTAGCTTAGAGAACCTTAATGAAAAACCTTAGCATGCATACTGGAAAACACACATAAGTAATTCCCTACAGTCCTGTGCAGAATTATGTTTTGGTCAACTACAGATGACACATATAACTGTAGTCCCATAAGATTATAATGGAGCTGAAAAACTCTATTGCCTAGTTATATTTTAGCCATCTTAGTGTCATAGTACAACACATTTCTCACATTTTTGTGGTGAATCTGGTGTAAACAAACTTACTGAGCTATCAGTCAAATAAAAGTATAGCACATATACTTGTGTACAGTATATAGTACATGATAATAACTATGTTAGTGGCTTCTGTATTTGCTATACTATATAGTTTTTATGATTATTTTACAGTATACTCTTCCTACTTATAGAGTTTGCTATAAAAAAGTATGCTGTGTTATGCAGGCAACAGCAGCCTCATAACATGTTTTGAAATGAGACCATAACAGGTCTCATGTTTTCCACATCACTTGATTGCATCATTTTCTCTTGTGCTTTATTTAATCTTGTGTTGTTTTGTGCAGTGACATACTGTACAGATTTGTAGCCTAGAAGCAATAGGCTGTACCACATGGCCTAGGTGTATAGTAGACTATATCACCTAGGTTTGTGTAATTGTACTCTATGATGTATGAACAACAAAATTATCTAATGACACATTTCTCAGAATGTATTCCAGTCATTAAGTGGCACATGACTGTTTTAAAATAATAAATAGAAGTTAAAAATATCATGTCAACACAGACTAAATTAGTCACAATTACACTTTATTAAAGAAGAAAACTTGACTCAATTCCAGATTAGAAACATTGGGTTAACAACCCTCAAACAGGACATGTTGGCCAAGACTGTATATGGGACTTTACTGTCGTTATTGCCCTTGTTCTAGAGTGTCCATAGCAGGGGAAACCTTGTAAGACAAAGAAAACAAACCTAAGAAACCCTATAAAATAAGAAGTCCAGACTTCCCAGTGTAGCCCATATACACATTTTCCATGTAACTACAGTCGGCCCTTCATATTCATGGGTTCCATATCTGCAGATTCAACAAACCATTGATTTACAGTTGGAGGATGTGGAGCCCATGGATACAAAGGGCTGAAAAATGGGCATTTTCAGATTTTAGTATTTGGGGCTGGAGAGGGAGGGGTCCTGGAGCCAATCACCCTTGGATACCAAGGGATGGATGATTGTACTCTGTGCAGAGAACATGATGGTGAACAAGACAAATAAGGGGACTGTTTTCATTGAGCTTCCTGACATGGATGGCTTAGAGAGATTTTTTCTAAAACAGAGATCACTAAGTGTCATTTCAATATCACCTATCTTCATTCATCTACCTACTCCAATTTTACAATTAGAAGAGTATTTTAATATACTTCAGATACCAAAGTTTCATTATAAAACTAAGAATAAAATGCTCAATTAATACATACTGTAATTAGCCTTTCAGGATAATTTTTCAACTAAATTCTAATACACTTAAAGAAAAAAGAAAAATTCCTGGCTGATGTAGTTCAGTGGATTGAGCACAGGCCTGTGAGCTGAAGGGTTGCTGGTTTGATTCCCAGTCAGGGCACATGCCTGAATTGCAGACCAGGTCCCCAGTTGGGGACACCTGAGAGACAACCACACAGTGATGTTTCTCTTCCTTTTTTTCTCTTTCCCTTCCCTTCTAAATAAATAAAATCTTATACACACACACACACACACACACACACACATAAGAAAAATACAACTAAACTTTTAACTATATATAATTATATATATATATAATCTTTTATATATATATAAAAGAAAAATACAACTAAACTTTTAACTCTTATTATTCTTGACTATTAAACTGGTCTGTTAAAATTAAAAAATGAGCTCCAATGAACTTAACATAAAAAAAAACCCAAATATTCATTACATGGCCTTTCTTGTTCTAGAGAAGGCATTTTAAAAGGGATTATCTTGAGTTTCATAAATATTGATAAGTCACTTACTATTGATCTAAGGTCAAAGTGACATTTGACAGAGGGTCTCTTTCAGCTTCAAAAGATGAAAAGCTGGTCCTGTCAGTCAATAATAGTTACTAAGAAGAAAACAATCTACTAGCTACTACCTGGTCCCTAGTTTTGGTATCACCAGAAAATCTGGGCTCTTTCTACATGGACTGAGAAGCCTTGACTATAGTAAATCAAAGAGGCATCACTCCCTGTGTTATTGAAATAAGCATGCTAAGATGAACAAACTGATATATAATAACAAGTAGACTTCATGTGGCAATGTCAAGGACAGTTACTATCACATTAATATATCACTATCAAAAGAAGTTTCCATGTTCTCTTATGGAAAATTTATCTTCCTTCTTTTATAATAGGGTTGAAGGGAGATAATGAGAAGTTAAGAGGGAGGGGGAAAAATATCCAAAGAGTTGAAGATGAGGATAGTGTCCATTTTAAAAGAATATATCATAACATTTCTGAATATCTAAGCAGGAAGGAAATGAGGAATGGAGAAGTATTCAATTAATAGCCCACAGGGGATATTATAATCTACTTAGTTTAATTAACTTCAACTTTAATGAGTTTTTTTTTTCAAAATAATTGTGAGCAGTTCACCAAGCTTGGCCTATTGCCAAACACAATCTCTCTTTCCTTCTTTGAACTAATTAAATGAGAAAGGATATAGGAAAGTCACAGAAAGAAAAGTATATAATCGCCAAATTGTGCTAGCATTATAAAGAACATTGTCAGGTTTTATAGGTTTAAATGTTATGGCAACATTTGCCTTCTCCTTACATCATCCTCTAGTCCTCTCTGAAAGTCCAGCTCTAGGTCTCAGGCTCGATTTTAGGTACCTGATCTCTAGGTTCTGTTTTGAAGTAGTTGATTAGGTTTAAAGTGACAGATTATTTTTCTAGTAATTATCTTAGCTCCCCGATTAAAGTTAGAAATGTGTAAGACCTCAAAAGGGCTTTAAAAACAAGCCAAAATTACCTGGTTGAAATGACTGCTCAAAAAATAAACTTTCACCCAATGGTTCCTTTATCCTTTTTTCCTCTTCTTCCTTTTGTTGCTCTTTTGCAGAAGGGAGAAGAGTAGCCACAACCTCTTTCCTTCCTAAAGCCTTCCTCTGGCTTTGCTCAGAAACTTGGAGACGAAATTTGTCTATTACACCATAGTGACAGGATCGAACATCTCTATGACGAATCACACTGAAAACATTCAAAAATGACAAATGCTGTTTAGGTTTCTGTGGGGCTGTCAAACAGAATTCAGCAAGAGATTTTATACAGTAAAAAAATATGAACTGACTATAGCCAAATACTCAAATATAGAAATTTGCTAATGAAGATAAAAATTACAGTAAGACCCAAAAAGAAATGGGTAATTCTGAAATATTTGATAAAAGTTCACACTCCAAAACATACAATAAAATTCTCAAGTAAAAGAATGACAAGTAAAGAAAATTCCTTTGGCAATGACATTTTTTCTAGATATCTGTGTGCAGGAACAGTTACTAAATAAAATGTATGAAACTGTTTCTTCCCCCACAAAAGTCTTATATATCTCTATTGCCTCTTATTTTTCAAGTAACAAACCTCACCATAGACTTAAAACTGAAATCCATGAATGAAGGTGAAAATAAGCATTTGCATAAGTAATCAATTCTGAGCAATCCAATTGAAAGCTAACAATACAGATCTGTATCTCTCTGAAGAGAAAAGAGTATAAAGTGCTTTCATTTTTATGCCTTATCTGCAATTCCATATATCCTACTTAATTTTTAATAGAGAACACAGAACAATTAGGTCTAAGGTAACACATTTATTTGACTAGAGACTACACTTCTTTAGAATAGTCCTTGCTTATTTTGTGTTGAATGAAAATCAAAAGAAATGTGCAAAAATATGGGAAGGACTGGGGGGTTGCACTGGCATGTGGGGGAAAGGGCAGAAAAGTGTACTTGAACAATAAAAATAATTTTTCAAAAAAGAAAGAAATGTGCAAAAACACATCCTTAAAAGAGACATAATTTTAAGTCTATTAGGCTTAAGTCTTTAAGGCTTTAAGTCTATTCAAAAGAAAATAAGAACAATTTAACAACAGCCAGAGGAAAGGGGGGAAGGGACAGAGGGGAGAAGGGTTTTCAGGAACTACTTACTACAAAGGATGCATGGGCAAAACCAAGGGGGAGGGTGGAAGCAAGGGAGGGAAGTGGGTTTGGATAGGGTGGGGGAGGGGTGGGGAGATAATACAGACAACTGTAATTGAACAACAATGAAATAATTAAAAAAAGAAAACACTTCTGCTCTCATTCTCACAGAAAATTTAAACAAATATAGTTTACTTGGTGGTTTAAATTAAGGGCAGGTCAATGGATCCACCTGGTCCCCATCAGTTCTAAAGTGAAAATTAAATTTAAACAGCTTGAAAAAACAATCATTTATCTGACACTCTAAGAAAAAATTGTCTGGAAGAGCTCAGATAATCTTTTACTTGCTTCCTGTTTGTATAGATTAATTTCCAAGCTTATTAAGCTGAATCATTTCAGATGAACATATATTACCTTCATTCTGAGAGTACAGTATTAGTTTCCCAAATGTCACTATAATAGCAATATTTTTCAAAGGAAGATAGTTTTTTATTATAGCTAATTTTTTAGTCATCATGTCCATGATGACTAAAAGCACAACAATGAGGAAATGTTCATGGAAACAGTAGTAACACACACATTGGTTGCAATATAATGAAGTGTTATTTAGTTGACCTGTTTAGAATCTCTTAGATACTTCTCAACAAGATTTTTTCTTTTTAATTACATATATTGGAGTGACAGTGAAAATTATATAGGCTTCAAGTGTATAACTATGATACATCATCTGTATATTGTATTGTGTGCCCACCACCCAAAGTCAAATCTTCTGTATATATTTGATCCCCTTTATGCTTTACTACCTGCACCCCTCAAGAATTTTGATAGACTAAAACTTTCAGCAAAAATAAAAGTATAATAAGTGCCTATGTGAGAACAGCTTCAAGAAAAAAAACATTTTTCAAGTTAAACATTTAAACACAAATATTAACACACTAAAACATGTTTTACCAGGTAGTGATTGGGACTTACATATCCACACAACACTGAGGCTTTACTGCACCTGCAGCATCAACGACAACATACTTATTTGGAGTAGTACACAAAACTGAAAGAAAAATTCACAATGACCATTAATGTTTTTTAAAAATTACTTTCTACAAGTAAAAATTTAGTAGGGACTAGTTAAAATCCATCAAATATACTTAAAAGACTCACCTTTGAACTTTAAGGCAAACTCATAGGGATTATATAGAGTCAACACTTGCTTATGTGTTGACTGGTCATCTGCATAAAATATTAGCTCCGTGGGAAACACAAAAACAGGAAGATTTCCTTCCACTAGCTCTAGCTGTCTTTTTTGTTGATGCATTGGCACTGAATCCCCCTTGCTGCAGCTTCTGTTTTAGAGTCTTAAATCTATTTTAGACTTTTCTTAAAGTTAGTTAAAAATTCCAAAGCATTTTGGCAATCTAGAAAGAGAAAAAGAAAACTGAATGATACCTGTTTACATTTCTTGTCCCACCACAAAAAGAATGCATTAAAATAGGCCCCCAAATAATTTAAACATGTCTTTTGACTTTTCCTCCTGGCTTATTTATAAAGCTTTTACCAAACTATGCCAAGAAATGTATATATGTTCCTTTCACATTCAAGATTTCAACCTATGATAAATAACACTAATACCTGAATGAAGGAATAAAGGCTTTCTACCTCAAATTCATCACCCCCTTTCAAAAAGATGAGATCAAAGAGATACCACTCTTTTTAAACACCTTTTAAAAAGTCTGGTTTTTTTAAAATAAGGTTTTAAAAAGAGATTTTATTTAGAGAGGGGAAGGGAGGGAGAAAGAGTGGGAGAAAAACATCAATGTGTGGTTGTCTGTCATGCACCCCTTGTTGGGGACCTGGCCTACAACCCAGGCATGTACCCTGATTGGGAATTGAACCAGCGACCCTTTGGTTCACAGGCTGACGCTTAATCCACTGAACCATACCAGCCAGGACTAAACCTCAGTTTTTAAAAAAGCAGAATAAATTAAGTACTGTCACCACCAATTGTATGTGAGCCAATCAGAATTTTTAAAAATTAAAAAATATAAAACTAAGTTTCCATGATTTATACAAAAAAATGAGAATCATTTTCACACTCATTTCAACAATACTTTATTTAATGCCTTCAGACAGCATGGATGGGAGATTTCTTTTACTCTCTTTTCTATTCAAACCCAAGATAAGCAAAAATGTCTGAAAGGGAAGCCAAATATCCAAACTTGCTAAGCAATCCATGGAGTTTTCTATGAAAATTCAAAGTCAGTAAGTAGGCCTTGGCATGCAAGTGGCAATGTGCCTCCCTTCCTACGTCAAGTGCACAGACTTTGTGAGAGCTATTTTCTTCCAACTTCAAAGATCTTTCTGGATTCCTTCTGGGATTCTTGAATATGTTCCAGACAGCTGTAACTGGCAGAAGTCTGACTGTCTGATAAGTGCAATATTTCTGTATTTCTTTCCTAATTAATTTTAGGCAACAACTTTTATTTAGCTAACAACCTAAGTGTGACTTTTAATAAAATCAAGTAATATGCTAAAGTTAAACATACATTCACAGAAAATGTCTGATTTTCACCCTGTAGATTACACCTTTAAAATAGACCATAAAACATTTAATACTTTGCATTCAAGTTTCCATACAAAGATAAATGTAACAAATAATTAAAATTTTTGGTTTTACCAGCTATCGGGGTGTATGAGCTCTGAATCTTATTAACGCCTTTCCAACTTCTATCAAATAGGATACTATATAGTCATGTATGCAAATGTTTATCCTTTTCTTTCAGCTGAAAGCCTATTACAGGCCTGGCATTATGTCAGGAGCTGCACAAAAACACAAAGATAAATAATGCACAGGCCTTGTTCTCAAGAAACTCAAGTCTCATTGATAAAACAAAATAAATATTGAAGCTACCTCTATTATAATGCATACTGGTGTATATGAAATACTGGAGAATTAGAAGAGTACATGAATAATTCTACCTGGAAGAGAAGCTAGGAGATGGAATTTGAGATAGTCCCTAAGGAAAAGAAGGATACATGCCCTGACTGGTGTAGCTCAGTGGGTTGGGCGTCATCCTGAGAACCAAAAGATCACCAGTTCCATTCCAGTCAGGGCGCATACCTGGCTTGAGGCCCGGTCCCCTGTTGGGGGGATGTGAGAGGAAAGGGGAGAGAGGGAGAGAGGGAGAGAGGGAGAGAGGGAGAGAGGGAGAGAGGGAGAGAGGGAGAGAGGGAGAGAGGGAGAAGGAGAAAGAAAAAAGAAAAGAAAAGAAGGATACAGACTTCTGTCTTGGAGAGGTTTGGTAGGAAGCACATTTAGACCTAGGAGACAACAATATAAGCAAAGGCACAGAAACATGAAAGTAAGGTAAAATGTTGAAAAGGTTGTAATCCACAGGATCTCCCAGATCATCATGGTAATTTATATCCATATATTTCATAGCATGCATGTAGCTCATAAAAGTGTTGCTTTTTTCCCACTGAATTACTCTAGGGCAGGCAATGTTCTAAATATTTGTTATTATTATTAAATTAGGAAGAGACCATACTAAGAAAAAAAATATCAGCAAGCTTCCTAGTCCAGTATTCTTTCCACTATATCAAAGTACCTGTCCATTTCAATAAAATACAACTAAGATTATTCTGAAAAGCATCTTATTAAATAATTCTATTTTTGAGCTTTTATTTGTCCTGAAATTTCTTTCTTTTTCTAAAACCTATATGCATTTGTGTTTGAATAATTTGCTCTCAGATGTTTGGCATCTTATTTTTTCAATAGAAAATAATAAGCTATATAATTACTTCCTTAGTAAGCTTGGCTATTAGGAATAGAACATCCAAACTTGGCGTCACTACATAAAATTCAACATCTCATTCTCAAAATGATAGAATGAGAATTTAGCTTATGATAAAAGGTGGAATTTCTGATTTGTAGAAGATAGTTTAGTCAATAAATGTTGATAAAGCTGGTTCTCCCTCTAGAGAAAAAAGTTAAATTTATCCCTCATGCCTTATAAAACTCCAAAATTTTATTAAGGTAAATTACAAATGGTTCAAAGCTTTAAATCAAGAAATAAAACCATAAAACATGAGAAACCATGGGGAATATTTTCTTTTTTATAATCTTAGGTTTTCTAATAACCAGAAACCAAAAAATACTAGTAAATTCAACTACATAAAAACTTTTAAAATTCCATATGGCAAAATACTTTCTAAGCAAAGCCAAAAGAACATTTTCAATTCATATCATAGGCAATTTCTAGTTTTATTACTATATATCAAGGTCCTACAAAACATTATAAAATGATACCTCAATATGAAAATGAGCAAACACTATAATATTTTATATAAGGATATACAGATTGCTCTTAACCTTATAAAAGGTTGTATAACTTCACTCACAAGAGAAATACAAACTAAATTTATACTGAAATATGTTTTTATCTGTCAGATTAGCAAAAATCAAAAAGTTTGATAGCACATGGTTGGAGCAATCAGGCATGTTCTTAACATTGCTAGTATGGATATAAACTGGCATATCCACTATACCAGCAAAAATTAAATGCACATACCCTCAACTCTAGAGATTCTACTTCCAGAAATTTATCTGATATAAATATTCCCGATGTGAAAGTATGTGAAAAATTTTTTTGTTTTTGCTTTTTTTTCCCCAGCACTGAGGATTAAAGTGTATGTGAGGCACATAGAATGAAGCTTGGCACTCAATAAGAGCTAGTGTGTCAATAGCAAAAGACTAGAAAAAGCCCATAGGTCCACTAATAGTGACTTATTAAATAAGATATAGCCATTTGTTGGGATAACATATCTGTCAAGAAGAAAGAAGTTATTTGTACAGTGTGCATTTGGACTTATTTTCAAGAGTAGCACTGAGTGAGAAAATCAAGGTGTTATGCTGAGTGTATAGTATGTTGCCATTTGTATGGAAAAAAGGAGAAAAGAAAATGTAGATCTATTTTCTTGGATATGGTAAAATACCTGTGGAAGGGTAGCCAGAGTCACGCCTGGAAGTACATTGAGTGGCCAGGGACAGGGCTTGGAGAGCTTTCTCCCAATACCCTCCAGTATCTTTTGAATTCTGAATGCTATGAGTAACTATTCAAAAGTGTTTTTTAAAGATTTTATTTATTTTTTAGACAGGGGAAGGGAGGGAGATAGAGAAAGAGAGAAACACCAATATGAAGTTGCCTCTCACATGCCCCCCACTGGGGACCTGGCCACCAACCCAGGCATGTGCCCTGACTGGGAGTCAAACCAGCAACCCTTTGGTTCGCAGGCCGGCACTCAATCCACTGAGCTGTATTCAGCCAGGACTCAAAATTTTGTTTTTTTAAGTTTGGAAAGTTTGAATTAAACAACAACTCTGCTAGGGCCTAATTTGCAAAAGGTGCCAGGTTTATAAGGGACACATGGACAAAGCCAAAGGGGGTGGATTCGAGGGTGAGAGGCAGGGATGGGATGGAGGGGCATGGTGGCTGGAAAATGGAGACAACTATACTTGAACAACAAAAAATTATAAAAATAAAATAAAATGAAATGAAAATGTGGCAAATTTGAAGCAACGTAGAAATGATGTGTGAAAAAAATCTGTTAATTGCATTTCCAATTTACGATCCTTTCATAAATTTGAAAACCTTAAAGCAGTGTGTAAAATAGAATGATTCCAATCATTTAAAATAATTTTACATGCAACAAACTCATTGCAATGAGAAAATAAAGTTTTATTTGACTTGCAAACTTAGGAAAATGTAAAATTTTTTAAAATTTTTTATTTATTTATCTTTAGAAGGGAAGGGAAAGAGAGAGGGAGAGAAATATCAATGTATGGTTGCCTCTCATGGGTCCCCTGCTAAGAACTGGCCCCTGCTAGGAACTGGCCTGCAACCCAGGCATGTGCCCTGACTGGGAATTGAACCACGATCTTTTGGTTCGCAGGCCCGCGCTCAATCCACTGAGCTTATACCAGCCAGGGCAGAAAATGTAAAATTTTTTTGTTATAAAGGAGTATAAGATGTTTTATAAATCTAACCAGGAAGTTAAAATTAAGGAGAAGTTAGTCATCACAGGTCAGAGTAGAAATTTTATAAGCTTTATATATTGGCTTAGTATAAATTTTATTCTATTTTTAAGCTTTACTCTACTTTTGAAGCTTTCTCTTTACCAGCTGAATATGGACACATTCTCCCATGCATCTTAGACTGTCTATCTCCTGGTCACCGTAAGGCTTGAATCATTTTTGGACAGTTTATTATTTCTTTTCACATCCCTGTTTCCATTCCTCACTTATCTTGGCTAAGATATAAGTTGCCTCCTAAACTCCAACCATTGTAAATTAGGGAGGAATTAGCACCAGGTCATCAGGGCAATATTAGAGACTCTGCCAAAAAAAACTTGATGAAGCTAAAACCTGCCTTTAAGTGATGGTTTTCTGAAGACTAACACTTTCTCCTTGTTCCAGTCCATATCGCAAAATGATAAGGTGCAAAAATTCTGAGCAGAGATTACATACTAAGCCAGTAAAACCTTAATTTGTTTATAAGGTTGCTTTAATAAAAGCATACACAAAGTCAAGAATTTTAGCTCCTGACCCTTCTCATTTTACTGCTGAGGAAAGCAGGTGCTCAGTAAGGGACTTACCAGGGTATTAGTGGCAACACTCCTGTATCCAGACTCACCCTTCCCTACAGTAACCATCTGCTTTGTGTCTCAGTTTAAAAGTCCTGCTCCCTGATGCTGACATCCATGCATGTACCCATCTCTAGAATATTTCCCTGCTTTTCCAGAGTGTTCCCAAAGATGATCCAAAAATTCAAGCCTTGATACCTGTTTTTCCTTTTCAGTTTTACAAGAAAAAGATCAAGAGAAAATTCCACTTACTAGGTTGTGTACAATTCCTTTTCTTTATTATTAAAGAATAGCTATAGCCCTGGCTAGTGTAGCTCAGTGGATTGAGTATGGGCCTGCAAACCAGAGGATCGCAGTTGGATTCCCAGTCAGGGCACATGCCTGGGTTGCAGGCCAGTTCCCAGCAGGGGATACATGAGAGGCAACCATACATTGATATTTCTCTCCCTCTCTCCTTCCCTTCCCCTCCAAAGATAAATAAAATCTTAAAAAAAAAGAATAGCTATGACTATCAGTAACCATTAGGCATTAATAACCAAGGGTTATTTTATTTGTTCTCTCTAGACACCAAAATTTTCTTCATTCTTCAAAGGCAAGTTCAAATTCCCTCTCCTTGCAGATTTCTTCTACTACCCTGATTTACATGGATCTCACTAATTTTATTATTTTGAATGTACTTATTATATGGGTTGGTTATTTTGACATTTGTTTTTGGGGGACTAATTTTGACTCCCCAGACTTCAGGCATAGTGCCATGTTGTTTTTCTGTGGATTTTTTTTTCTATCCTTCATATACCCAAGCTTAGTGTTAGGCTATTAGCAGACAGTGAGCTTCAGTTAACCTACAGGAGTCTACTAATAATTGACTCCTTTATCAAGGAACACTGTCCCTCCCTGCAGCTGAACATACTTAGTCCAAAGATAGACAAAGGATCCCAACTACAGGAGCAGTAAATCTGTAGGAGCTACTTGCCATAGGTTGTGGTAAGAGGTGAAAAAACAATCATCACTCCCAGCCACCCCTCTACCCACTCCTTCCCTTTCTTCCTTCCATTTCCCTCAGGTCATCTCCTCTGGTTTTTCAGTGCCCAACTGGGCCAGTAGTGTTTAGAAATCTGAGGCTCCAACAGACTACCATACCCTCAACCTTTCAATGAAATAGTGGAGCTAGGAGCTGGTGCTACACAAAACTATCTTGCCCTTTTTCTTCCACACTAAAGGCAATCCTGAATGAAATTTGAAAGAAAATCCTTATGTATGTACACCACCTTGTGACCAGTTTGCATTACTTTCCCACACACACGCACAAAAAAAGCTTAAACGCCTTGAAATCCTCACTTTCTACCATCAGTCCAGAGAGACCAGCACTCCAAAAGTGTGATTATTTTATATTTCCCTCACTTTGGACTGACCAGAGGAAGGAAAAGATGAGACTCTGAGGTAAGCAAGGGAGTTTCAATATATTTACCACCATGGTTTCAAAACTTGGAGACTATTAAAGACCACAGAAACCACTTTAAAAGCATATTGTCATTTGCCCCTCCTTTTTTGAGAAGAGGAGGCTGTAAGAAAATCAAATGAAGTAAGTGAAACTTAGGTATTCTTGTATTGATGTGGCTCAAAGTTTAAAACTGTTAGGAATGATTTGAAGTACAGACTTCTCCATACGTTACTGGCCCATCATCTTGGCTTCAGAGCACCAGCTGCTTACTACCTGTCCCTGGCTCTTCTGTTTACTCTGATTAGGATGTTCCTAGCTCCACCTCCAGGTCTTCTCCCTTTTATCTGAGCACAAGGATTATCTTAGTTCTCCATACTTGGTGCAGTCCTTGCCAATGGCCAACTAAACACAAAATAGTTAAGAGCAGTAAGTTCTTTTGCTTTACTCTCAATGGTATTAAAACTTCTCTTTCCTTCCCATTTCATAAACTCAGTTCTCTTTCTCTTTGAATGTCCAGTATTGTCTGTTGGGATTTTTAATGGCCAGTATGTTCCTAAAGTCAACTCTTTCACAAGTAATGTTATAATATTCACTTTATTATTATTTTAAGTGGTTCAATGCTCAATATTAGGCAATTTTTGTGTTTATACATTTCCTAGGTTTTTGTGGGTACAATTTGATATCTTACTCATGTATTGACTGCTATAAATGATATATAGTGATAGGCTACTAAATATTCAAGATGTAAATTTGAGTGCTGCATGCTTTAAGCATTTAAAAAATAAGGATGCCCTCCAGTAATATATTTTTAAAAAGTATTTCCTTTACCCTGGCTGCTGTTGCTCAGTGAATTGGGTGCAGCCCTATGAACCAAAAGGTCAATAGTTTGATTCCCAGTCAGGGTACATGCCTGGGTTACAGGCTAGGTCCCGACTTGGGGACATGAGAGAGGCAACTGATTGACATATATCAAGGTTTCTCTCCCTTTCTCCCTCCCTTCCTGTCTAAAAATGAACAAATAAAATGTTTGAATGAAAACATTTCCTTTAAGCTAGTTATTTCCAACATTTGTTTTACAATATCCCAATGTCTTCACTTATTTCAAGATGTATGTGCAATTCTTAAAGCAAAAGCCATATTAATTCATTATATGAAATATATCTGTTGCACACTAGACATTTTACAATCATAAATTCATTTAACAAACATTTACTGAGCACTTATATACCAGGCACTGTGCTAAGGAATGTGGAGAAAAGATGGAAACATTGTCTTGCCCTTCAAAACTCCATCCAACATGAAAACAGATACACATAATAGTTAGGATATAATGTGGCAAGTGTTAAAATGCTGGTAGATATAAAATGCTCAAAAAGAAAGTGATGGCCTGCCTTAAATACGAGTTTGTAGTAGGTGTGGGGGGGTGAATTATAGGAAGGATATGTGTAGGGACATGAAAGGGACACTTAAATGAGCTTTGGCATTGTATATGGTTAAAAAATAGAATGTATGGTGAAGTGGCAAGAGATAAGGTGGGAAAGGTAAGCCGGAGGCAGATGGAGATAAATCTTTTAAGCCAAGTTCAGGGGTTTAAGACTTTATTCTGAATGCCAGTGTTTCTCGATATGTGGTGCTGGACCAGGAACAGCAGTTGCACCTGGGAACTTGTTAGAAATAAATGCAAGTTCTTGGGTCCTACCCTAGACCTACTGAATCAGAAATTGTGGATTTGGGGCTTTCCAGTTGATTCTAATGCATCCCACACTTTGATAACCATTGCTGCAGGCAATGGAGAACCTCCAAAGGATTTTAAGCGGGGAACTAACTGGATAAAATCTGAAGTAAGAAACTGGTTACCACTGACTAGTCAAGCACAGCACTCGTAGTCATAGTAAGAAGAAAAGAAAAGAAAAAAAAAACTACTGAATGAGTGTGGCATACAGAAATGATGAGGCCTAGTCTAAGAAAGTAGGAGTAGAGAGGAAACAGATTTTAGAGATGTTTTCCAGGTGGCCCAAGTTCTATCATGAGACTAGGACAGATGTATACAAAGGTGTGATTGTAACAGTTTTTATATAAAAGCACACTGTACTATTGTTGAATGTACTAACCACTAGATGTTTTAAGAAAGAAATGGTCCACACAGACCACAGAATAAGGGAAGGTCAACAGCAATTTCTATGTGATCCCATTGTGTCAAGAGTAAAGAGTGCCCAGGCTTGTCCATGAGTCTGGTCTGCTTGGCTGATCTACTTCTCACTATAACTTAGTAAACTGGCATTCATTAATACAGAAATCTTTCATGAGTATGGTGTCAATCAATCCTTGAGACTGGTAAATAATTTCTGGATGTGCTGGCAAAATTAAATTTCAAACCCTATGGCCTGGCTGGTGTAGCTCAGTGGATTGAGCATGGGCCTGTGAAGCAAAGGGTCACCAGTTCGATTCCCAGTAATGGCACATGCCTGGGTGCAGGCCAGGTCCCCAGTAGGGGACACATGAGAGGCAACCACACATTGATGTTTTTTAAAAAATCAAATAAACAAACAAACAAATAAATTTCAAACCCTAAAAAGCTTAAAAAAAAGACATTGGTTCTGGTGATCTAACCAAGGTACTACCGAGGTGAAGCCCTGCTAGAGACACCTTCTTTTTATTCCAACTTCACCACTGACCACATAGCCCACTTATTTCAGGAAAAACTTGGACTTTTTCTGAAAGAATCAGACTTTGTACTATGCTGTGAAGGTCATGAAAGTCAGGTGAGGCTGTTATTTCTAGTTTTGGAGGCAGGATTTTGCTGAGGCAATCTTCTATTTCCTGATGGAGAGGAGAATGAAAAAGAGAGGTACAGATCAACCTATTGGGCTAATTTATCTCATGAGATTTTTTTCAGAGTGTGATTTCTATTTCTGTCAGGTCTCTGAACACTTCTTGTTACTTACTGCATGTTTTTTTAATTGATACCAATATTTTGACTTGTTTGACCATCTTATTTTGGCCAAGAATAGTTCCCAACCAAAAACCACACTATTTTATGGAATTGGAGAACTGTAAAAGACCCGAGAGTTTAGAACAAAAACTTTCGTATTACAGATAAGGAAAATGGAGGGCCTCCAAGAGTAAATCAGTTAATCTGTTTATTGTAGAGCTCCAGTCTCCAGAATGTTACAAGGTTACAAAACAAGATTAAGAGCAGCACAGATAATCTGCTCCTTTGAGTTTTAGACAAGATTTTAAATTTCTCTATTTTCCATCTTAAACTTTTTAAAACAGAAAAAGAATAGCAAATTACTTACTTTATTGGGATGGACAAGCTTTTCTTGTAGTTTCTTGTTTTAGGTTTTCAGGAATTGGAGTTAAATGTAAATGCTCCATAAGAAAAAAAATTAAAATATTTGGGGAGAAAAGGTGCATGAATCATTTAAGGGGAGAAACACGCATTATTTTATAACCTATTTGTTCTATCTTCCATCTTTGTCAATAAAGGGGTAACTACTGCGAATATCATGCATTATATTTTTGGTGCATTATATTTAATTATGTATTACATGTAAAGGAATTCTATCATAACTACCCTTCACAGATTTGAAAAGCTACATATTTTCAAATGTCCTGGTATTTGAGTAAACCTCTTATCCTGAGAGTTTTAGAAATGCTTCAAAAACTAGTTTAAACTTACGTCCTGTTCGGGTTTATAAACACGAACAACCTGAAAGGCACATTTTACCCTGTTTCCAAACTTCCCACTGCTTTATACTAAATACACCATAATCTGAAAGTTGGTGTCCACTCTCTATACAATATCCTACATATAGCACCTTATAGTCAGAGAGATTTTCCAGAGCCTATAGGAAATGTCAATAAGATTTTCACCATCGAGAATATATTAAACCCCATTTGTTCCCTGCCTGAAAAAGTAGACCTTTTTCTTGTCTGGAATTCACATTAAGAATGTAATGCATTCATAAAGAACAAGACTGCTTTTTAGGCAAGATCCAAAGGACCCAATTTTTCAGGTTTGCATCGATCTTATTTCCTTTCAAAGGTCAAATATCTGGGACTGTTTTCATCTAATATTTGCCCTCTTGTTCACCAACATGAAAGGTCTCTTTGAGTCTACTGGTGCAGAAATGTTGCTGTAGTCCGGAGAGGACCGATGTCAGTTACTTTACCCAGAAGGGGAAACCGCAGAACATTGATTAAGGGAAGGAGGGCAGGGGCGGGAGTATCACACAGTGGGTCCTAGGACTTCAGCTCTACCTGATTGGGTCGGGCCCAGCCTTTCCAGTCCCCATCCCTACACCGGCCGGCTCCACGTGAAACCGATCATGTGAGCCTGTTTACAGCCGAGCAGCTGGTGCAACCATCAGGATCCGTCCGGAGGTCCTGGAAGGGGGCAGCATACAGGCCACATACCTCCTACACCCCCCACCATTATTCCAAGAAGGCGGTAGCTGTCCCTCCCTGCCTCTCCACCCCACTCTTCATCTCCCTCCAGCCACCCCGATACTCCACGTTCCAGCCCCGCCGATTTCCAGTTGCTCAATAAGGGGGACCAGCAGGGCTGTAGGAAGGAGGAAATGCGAGGACAGTGTCACCCCGAACAGAGAGTCAACCTCCGTCCCGCAGTCCTCTTGAAAACATCCGCCGAAGAGTTGTCCCCGGAGTCGCATCCCCGGGGTAACCGAACTCTGTCAGGCAGACACAGTGAGGATCCACAGCCTGCTGCCTCCGCCCAGGAACGAGAGACACACTTACTGGCTCGCCAGACCCTGGGCTGGGATCCGCGTATGGCAGAGCAACTGACAGAAATGGAACAGAAAGGACCCCTTCTGATTCCTTCTCTCCACTTCCCACCCGCATCCCGGCGCCTCGGAGCCCTGCTGTCAGTCACCGAGACAAGCTCGGGGTGTGGGGACTGCTCGTTCTGTCCACAGGGTCTCTCAGCACTGTAACTTCCCTATTTTTCCGAAGTCGGAGGAAGTGGGAGACAGGACGGTAGGGGACTCTCACCTCGGCAACACTGGCTCCTCGGAAAGCAGCTGCGACTGCTCCTCCGGTTCTTTGTCAGCGTCTCTAGGCTGCACTGCCTGCTGGGATACCGGAGGACTCAAATACCACCTCTCTCCGCCCTCGTGGATGAGAGCTGCTATTGGGGGTGGGTGGGAAAAGGGAGAAGAGGCGGAGCAAGGGGCGGGCCTGGAGCCGAGGGCGGGGCCTCTATACTGCCACCTGGCCCCCAGGGTTTCTTCCTTCTCCGCACTCCAAACTTCTTCCCTCCTGTCTCTGCCCCTCCCTCCCCTCCCCTCCCCTCCCTCCCCTCCCCTCCCCTCCCCTCCCTCCCCTCCCTCCCCTCCCCCTCTCCTCTTCCTTCCTCTCCCAACGCTTCTTGAGACTGGGGACTCTTAGAGTTGTGCCACCTGCCTTTGCATTTGTCAGGCAGCCACCCTTGAGTCCTCCGCCTTCTTACTCCCCTGCACACTCACAGATCCAGTGAGTACAAAGACTAGTTGATTCCACCTCTGAGATATGTCTTACTGGCCACCTTTCTCCACTCTATTATCCTCAGTCCTGCAGGCTCTGTTTAGGCCCCATGACCTTTGGCTCAGTTACACTACTGTTTGGACTCTCTTGCCTTTATCTACCCCATCTCCCAGACAACAGCCAGAGGGATTTATCTAAGATATGTAGGTGACTGTGTTACTCTTCTGCTTAAAACCTTTCGATGTCTCAGCAGTACCTACATCCACTGGCATGGTATATAAGTCCTACTGTAATTCTTTTCTGATTCACCCAATACTCTAACCCAATAAACTGGCCATCCGTGAAAGACAGAAGGGTCTGGGACAACTCAACTAAGTGCTGGTTACCTCAAATCCCACCAGCTTCTTGTATAGAGACCACAGAGTCAGTAAGACTCACAGGCCCCTTAGAGTATCCTTAAAGATAGAATTTTCAAAATTAAATTGTAATGATGTTCATAAGGGAGGAAGGTGCAGCTGTCACAGGTCCCTTCCCCACAAGTATAAGGCCCAAAGAATTCTCCCCAGTTGCCCACCTGAGCAATGGGCTGCCAGCAGATCTTCCTTGGGCTCAGGCTTCTGATGCCTTTGCTCACAGATTCCCTCCATTTATAATGCCCATCTCTGTCTTGGGAATACTATCTATCTTTAAAGGCCCAGGGGAAATAGTATGTCCTGAGAAAACCTTCCAGAATCTCCCATGAGAACTATTTTTTAGCTCTTTATTATTACTCTATTATAGTTGTCCCAATTTTTCCCTCTTTACCCCCTCCACCCAGCCCAACCCCTGCTTCCACAGTCAGTTCCCACACCATTGGCCATGTGCATGGGTCTTTTATATGTGTTCTTTGACTAGTCATTTCCCTTTCTTCCACCATTATTCCCCACCCACCTCCTCTATGGTTTCCACATTTCCATGCTTCTGGTTCCATTTTGCTCATTAGTTTATTTTGTTCATTAGCTTCCTCTTATAAGTGAAACTATATGGCATTTGTCTTTCTGTTTGACTTATTTCACTTCTTAATGTAATACCCTTTGGGCTCTTGCAAATGGCAAAATTTCATTCTTTTTATGACTGCATATATCCCATTCTTTATCCATTCATTTATTGGCAGACACCTAAGTTTGCTTCCATATGTTGGCTATTGTAACTAATACTGCAATAAACATAGGGGTGCATATATCTTTTCAAATTAGTGTTCTTTCTTCTTCAGATAAATACTCAGAAGTGGAGTTGCTGGGTCCTATGGTATATCTACTTTTAGTTTTTGAGGAATCTCCATTCTGTTTTCCACAGTGGCTGCACCAACTTGCAACCACACCAAGAGTGCACAAGAGTTCTTTTTCTCCACATCCTCACCAATACATTTTATTTGTTGACTTTAACTTTATTTTTTATTATTTTTAAAGATTTTATTTATGTATTTATTTTTAGAGAGAGGAGAAGAAAGGGAGAAAGAGAGGGAGAGAAACATAGATGTGCAAAAGAAACAATGATTAGTTGCCTCTCCCAGGACTCCACCTGGGTACCTGGGCTGTAATCCTGACCTGGAATCAAATGGGTGACCTTTCTGTTTGTGGGATGATGCCCAACCCACTGAGCCACACCAGTCAAAGGCTACTTGTTGACTTTTTGATAATAGCCATGCTGACAGGTATAAGGTGCTGATATCTCATTGTACTTTTGATTAGCATTTCCCGGATGATTAGTGATGTTGAGCATCTTTTCATGTCTGTTGGCCATCTGTATGTCTTCTTTGGAGAAATGTCTCTTTGTGTCCTCTGCCCATTTTTGGATTGGATTGTTTATTTTTGTTGTTGTTGTTATTGAGTTGTATAAGTTCTTTTGTATATTTTGGAAATCAACTCCTTATTGGACATGAGAATATATTCTTCAATTCAGTTGGTTGTGGTATTGGGAAATCTGGACAGACATGCAAAAAAATGAAACTGGATCACTCGTTTTATACCATATGCAAAAATAAACTCAAAATACATTAAAGACTTATATGTAAGGCCTGAAAACCATAAAACCCATAGTGGGAAAAACATAGGTGGTAAACTGATATCAGCCTGAGTAATATCTTTTTTTATATGTCCCCTTGAACAAGAGAAGCTAAAGTTAAAATAAACAAATGGAACTTCTATTAACTACTGCTCAATCAGCATAGAACATTGCTTATTCTGCTTTGCAATTTTTCCTGACTTACATAATCACTAGTCATATAAATGTCTTCCTTTCTCTTCTACCTAGACTATGAATTACTCAGCTGCTAACACCAATACCTAATCCAGAAAAGATGCCAATACAATTGGATGAAATGAAATCCTTCGACTCCACAGCATCTGAGGCCCTAAATAAGCCCAGAAAGAATATTAGGCCATGCCTTGTACAACTATACTCTCTTCCCTAGGTCACCTCCATCTTGACCCAGCCAATGTCACTTTGCAAACACAAACTGGTTAGGCAGCAAGAGCATTGCGAAAGGACCAAAGCTTGTACTTCCCTTGCAGGTCAGACTGGTTTGTGGTACAGTATGTGGTTGTGGAAAATGTAACCCATACAGTTCACATGAGAATACAGTGTAGTAAAATTTCCTGGTGCTATAGAAAATAACTGAGTTTCCACATGCAGACACAACTCCTGCCTGTGGGAGGTTTTGGACTCCTTCTCGCCCAGGCTACCCTTGGACTCCATAACCCCTCAAACCTTGTATTCTGTATTATAAGGTATTCTTTCTTGCAAAGTATGCATCTTGATTTGTGTTGTTCTTGCATCATTTAATTGTATTTATTTTCTCTCGAATTATACTACAAACTATACCCTGGCAGGGTTTCCTCATCCCTGAAATGGGGACAAGAATCCTTGGCCTACACTTTTAACAGTTTAGCAGCCTTTTAAAAGATTCTAAGGTGGTAATATTTACACAATGTGTGATGATGTAACTATAGGATGCTCTACAAATGTAATGTCTGTTTGATTATTACAATTTTTAAAAACCTTTACACTCTATTACTTAGGTATGTGCATTTGAGATTCCACATTTGGAATCAAAACCTTTATTGCAAATTTCTGGGCATAATGTTTTAAATCATGGTTTCCCAAATTTGCCAGAAGATAAGAATCACTGGGAGATCTTGTTAAAAACACATTTCTAGAATCTACCCTAGACCTACTGAATTAAAAAAAAATCCAGATAAGATTCTGCTCTAACAATTTTAAAGTGTGGACTTGTCTGCACTTTATTCTCTGTCTGTGCTACCAATTCTCTGACACCAGCTGCATATCCTACAATTCAACTAGATTTTTTCATTTTCATTTTATTTTTCAATTACAGTTTACATCCAACATTATTTTATATTAGTTTCAGGTCTGCAGCGAAGTGCCCCCCCCCTATATTTTCTGTACCCACCTGGCACAGTTATTGCAATATTATTGTCTATATTCCCTATACTGTACTTTATATCCCTGTGACTATTTTGTAAGTATCAATTTCTACTTAGTTCCTTAGCCTTTTCACCCAGTCCCCAACTTTCCTCCCCTCTGGCAACCATCAGACTGTCCTCTGTATCTATTGGTATGTTTCTACTTTGTTCATTTATTTTGTTCTCTGGATTCCACATATAAGTGAAACTATATGATATTTATCTTTCTTTGACTTATTTCACTTAGCATAATACCCTCTAGGTCCATCCATGACCATCACAGGGGTAAGGTTTCATTCTTTTTATGCTCAAGTACTATTCCAATGTAAATGTACCACAATTTCTTTAACCACCTGCCTATTGATGGGTACTTGGTCTGTTTCCACTGCTTGCCTACAGTAAATCACAATGCAATAAACACAGAGGGGCATATATTCTTTCAAGTTAGTGTTTTGGGTTTCTTCAGATATATACCCAGAAGTGGATTCACTGAGTCAAATTCAACTCCATTTTGACAATATCCACACTGAGATAACATCAGTCCCCACAGGTAAAGGGCTCAGTCCCATAACACCGTTCTCCACTTCATATGCCAATCACAAGTCCAGGTTGTTACCTGTGCTGTACTTCTGAACTACTGACTATAAATTAGAGGTTCCCACAATTCCCTCTTTATTCCCAAATAAACCAGTGAGTTTGGTTTATTTGCTGAAGTGGCTCACAGGATTTAGGAAACCAGTTTACTCACTAGACTACTGGTTTATAGCCAAGGATATTAAAGTATATGAATCAACATCCAGAAAAAGAGACAAATAGGTGAAGTCTGAAACAAAGGAGCTTCTGTCCCTATGGATTTTGAAGCCCAGCATGGCAGCATGAGAAAGAATTCTGGTTCACCAACCTGGAAGCTCTCTAAACTTTGTCTTTTGGGGTTTTTATGGAGGCTTTATTACATATGCATGATTGATGAAATCATTAACCACTGGTGATTGATACAACCTCCTGGCCCCTTAACCTTCCCCAGAAGTCAGGGGTGGGGTGGGAGCAAGAGTTCCAACCCTCCAATTACATGGTTGGTTCAACCAGGGACTTGGCAACCAATGCCCCTATCCTTAGGTGGGGTACAAAAGTCACCTCATTACCATAAATTTGGGTAGTTGAA